AATCCAATCCATCAAGTATTACTTCAAACTGTAACAGCTTATTGGGGAAAAGAAGATGCATTGATTATAATTTGAAAAGGTTCTTGGATCAATTAGAATAAAAGAGCTAAAGGAACAGCTGCCCAGCAATTAGATAGCCTTCCCCAACAATCTAAGGCATATTCCAGATGTTTTGGAACTCCAACTCCCAAAATTCCTAGCTAGTGTGTTGCTCTGTGGAATATTTCAAAGTGGTGATGGAGCAAAGTGAGACATGTCCATGCTACCTTGAGTGAAAAATCCTATTCTGAATTGCCTTACCCCATACCAGTTTTGACTTTCTTGATGAGTCAAAATACTGCCCTGAAGGAGAACAGTGTGCCTGACCTCATACCTCCTTCTCTTGTGAAGATTATCTCTGGGATACTTGAAGTAATAGCAGAATTTTTACAAATGCTACTACAGCCCTTTTTCCACAAGAAATTATATGCACCTGATGATCCAAAAGGTTTCCATTGTACTAAAGAGAAAAGCAGTGATTCTGTGTGGAAACACCATGAGTTATAATGTAGTAAAATGTAGCAAATTTCCATCTGGAAGATGGTTTCTTTTATTGCTTTCTAATGTATTGCTCCCACAAGGTGATGCAAACTGACCATTGAATTAAGATTGCACCAAAAAAGAAAATAATTTAGCATTATTGGGATAGGAGGCAAACCTGTCAAACACAGAAAAACAGTGAAAGCAGGATAAAAAGTGATCCATGTATTTTAAAGCAGAATAAATGAAGCAGCTGCAATATAGTCTTGTCAGCTTATTAAATCATAATCAGTGGTCTTTAGATTTTCTTTAGCTGTTGGTTATGTTCTAGGACCAATCAATTAAAACTGAATCAGTGGATTTTGAGCCCGAAACATTATTAATTTATCCCATGCATTTTCACTGGGTTTTTCACACCTGAACTCTCCTATCAGTAACCAAGTCATATATTTGCTCACTCTACATGTTCCCTACTTTGCACTCAAAGTTTTTTTGGATTGCCAAGCTCAAATGATACTTTTAACCTGGAATCTCAAAAAAACCCTCCTTGAAAGTAAAAATTAGAAATAAATGTAAGGATAAACCAAATAAAGGAAAATATGCAATTATTGTTAATTATGTTCATTTATTATTGCTGGTACATTGCAAAGCCCATCAAAGTAATGTTCATCAAAACTAGACAAAATGTGCATCTCTTATGTTCTATTAACAACAATTTGCTAATCTATATCAAGAACGTATGTTAGAAAAGTAAGAATACCACAACAATGACACTAAAATTAAATGTATTTAAATAACATTAATGAAACTTTTATTTTCTTATTTCTACCTGTTAGTTTTATAAGTTCTAATCATTTCTAACAAGTATTGTGTTACTCCATGATCAGATGGGAGTGCTATAAACATAGATAAATGTCATAGATTTGATTGCTTATTTTTATTATGAAGAACTGAAGATGCAAAAATTTCATCAGATTTCAAAATAACTTCTAACAACATGCAGTATAACTATGATTTGTTGCCCATCAAACCTTTCCATGAATTTAAGTTATATGCTGTAAAAGAATATAGACCTGGTCTTGGGAAAGGGAAGAGAGCAATGAACTGTTAAGGGAGGAAAAATGGCAACTCAATCCTGAAAGAAATTCAAAACAACCCTGCCTTGATTTGGTTTGGTGCAAGATGCAGCAAGAGAAACTCCAAGAGAATTTCAAGACTATGTTTTCCTACCCTACAACAATAAAAAGCATTCCAGGAAACCTTGCTGCTTCTGTTTCTTGACCTGACATATGACAGCTTTTATTCTTGCAACTCTGCATCTTTCAGATGAATATAGGTTCTTTACAGGAAACTTTGGTTCAGAACCTGACTCCTCAAAACATGATTTCCTGGTGCATTTAAAGAAATATTTGGTTTCAGTTGTAACTTTAAGCAATCCTTTTGACTCCCAAGCCAGCCTGAGTTAAGCTTCACTTGACTTAGTAATAGTTAGCAGCAAACTGAATATTACTCAGCAAGTTGAGGGATCCTGGTTCATTGAATTTGTTTAATCAGAGACTAGAGAATTATCTATCTGAGATGGTTTACATTCAGGAACTAAGCAGAAGATAAGGCTTGATGTCCTAAATAACTCTGTCCAGGTCTACGTTTCAAATTCTGACAAGTTCTGTCTTCCAATAAACCAAATCTGCTGTTTGTCAATATCCTCTAAATGTGTTCAGGCTGTAATTGCTCCAGTCCTCAAAAAGCCCTATCTTTGTCCTATATTCCTTATTTACAGACCATCAAAAAATTGACTAGATTAACAGTATCCAAGTCTTAAGCAGGCCTATGAAGTTCTTGAGGTTTTAACAGATATTCTCTGTCCTTATGGAATGCATTTCCTTTGTAGTAGTGGCCATCAGTTTCTCTCTAACACAGACTCATCTGTATGGGTATCAACCAACACAAGTTACATCAGATTATGGAACAGAGAATTTTTCTGGGGAAGAACCACCCTGGAAGTTGCAGAAGTTTTCAGAAGCCATATAGATAAGTGAAGGAGAACATAGACACCTGAAAAGAAACAGGAATAAGGAAATGATAGGCCTCCTTATAGGGCTTACTTAGATGGATCACACAAGAGGTCCATTGCCTACTCACTGCTAAACTACCAGTTATGAACAGTGAAAACCTGGTGAACTAGTAGTCAAAAATAATAACAACAACAGCAACATCAAAATAAGGCAATGGCACTCTGGAACTACAAGAAATATAAGCATTAACATTTATTATGATTGTTAGTATTAACATTATACATAAGGTTTTATTTCAGATAGCACTGTAAAATAAAGTTGTTTTACAATGCTGTCTGAGGCAAAGCTTTGTGTGTGATACCCCCCACACAAACACATATACAACATCCTTCCATCTTCAGTAGCTATTTGTCTTGCCAAAAATTCTCTATGCCACCCTCTTCTTTCTCAACAACCTGATCAAAGCTTCCTTCACCTGATCATTTCGGAGACAGTAGATTAAAGGGTTAAGCAGAGGGGCAATGGAAGAATAAAAAAGTGTCATCAGTTTTGTGTTTTCAGTATGGCTTTCTCCATTGTGTCCTATATACATAGCAACCACAGAGCCATAAAAGATGGCCACCACTGCTAGATGAGAAGACATGGTGGAAAAGCCCTTTAAGCTAGAGCTTTTTCTGGATGTTTTCACCAGGGTGAAAACTATCCCTGCATAGGAGACCATAATGAAGAGAAAGGTGGCCAGAACTACAGAAGATGTTACAATGTAGCAGAAGAGAGGAAGGTATGCTGGTGGGTGACAGCCCAAGGCTAGGAGTTGTCCAGAATCGCACACAAAGTGATCAATGATGTTTGAGCCACAAAAGGACAACCTGGAGATCAAGGACACTGGGGCAATGTACCAGAGAAACCCAGTGATCCAACAAATGCTCACCAGCAGGAAGCAGAACTTTTTAGACATAATTTGTGTGTACCGTAGTGGACAGCAGACGGCCAAAT